GATCGACTATTGACTCTGTTAGCCCCGTCTAAAAGCAAATACGACGAAGAGGACGATATTATGATTGATACGTTGCTTCGACAACGTAGGCAAGGGTCAGTTCTTCGTTTAACTGTTGGGGGATTAACCGCCAATGTTTACTCCCTCTCTGCCATGAAACCTCTATCATTACTTGCAGAGGAGGCATCGAAACTTGCCAGAGTCGCCAAATACCTCCCCGAAGATGATAGGCCTGGTATGCTTGCCTTAGCACTGGTCAGAGAGCTTGAGCTGAATATTACTGTTGGTGGCAAGGTTGGTAAATTCAGACTTCAGTCACACAATGCAGAAGTTGGGTATGTCAGTTTTCCATCTTTGATAGCTTCTCGCGTTTCAACCGCAACCGTTTTACGGAACGAAAAGGAGGAGCTCCTCGGACCAGCTGTTCTTCGTAAGCCCGGGGAAAGGAAACCTGAGAGCGAGCTGCCCATGTTTATGGTGAGATATATTGCGGATGAACTGGAGCCCGCTATCAAGCTGAAACTTTTCAATACTCGTGTTGAATACATAGCTGAATCCATTGTGACCCTAATGGACCTTCAAGAGGATGAAGCAACTACGGAGGGCATAGCAACCAACATGGCGCAGTCAGTGCTCAACTTCGCTGAGTTACCGGAACAGCCTACAACTGAGCTTGAGACTTCGATGCAGGACTCAACTGCTGCGGACCCCTCACCTGGAACTACCTCTCCAATTCGCCTCTCCGTTACTTTGAAAGACTGTCTTATAGGCTTAGCTCCTCGCAATTCCCCTGCCAAAGGCTACGTGGTGTTGACAAATGTCGAATTCTTTGGATGCATGCAGCAGGAACTTCGTTCTGAAGCTACCTTGAAAGTAGCTAAAGCCTCAATGATGGTAGTGGACAGGGTAGAGTCAGAAGAAAAAGCTAGATCGAACGGCCGGCGCAGGAGGTCTACCAGTTTGAGTCCTCAAGTTCAATATCTAGAGGAGATAGGCTATGTTTCTGTTTGTGAAACCTCATCCGCTCAAATATATCTCAAAATCATGCAGCTGGCAGCCGACGGTCAAAAGTCACTCGACGTGGAAGTGAGAGACGACTTACTGATACTTGAGACCTGTGCCGACTCTACTCAATCCCTTATATCTCTTCTAAGCGGGCTATCACCACCTGCTCCCCCTAGCGAAGCCGTCAAATATCGGACGGAGGTTATGCCAATCAGCAACTTGCTCCAATCATTCGCTGCAGAGACCCTGGACACTTTCAACTCGAATAAAAAGAGCAGCCGTGAATATGACGGTCTAGAAGAGTCTGACGAGATATCGGCTGCCGAGCTAGGGTACATCAGCGACTTCTTCCCATTCCATGCTAGTGTTAAGTCAGGTAAATCGACCGAAGAAGCTCCAGGTGAAGGATATGAGCTATTGGCAAAGAGTACGCACTCGGTAGCGCATGTCCACCCAGAACATACTGCGCTCAACTTTGATGAAGACCATTTCTCGAAGAATTCTGCGGTTGGAGGCACTGCCCACCGATGGGATGCGTCTCGGAACACATACAATCTCTCAAACGAAGTCAACCTGCAAAATAGCCCTTTGAGATTAAGGGTTCGAGATGTCCATGTCATATGGAACTTATATGATGGATACGATTGGTGGCGAACTAGAGATACCATCTCCAAATCGGTGAAGAGCTTGCAAACTCGAGCTGCCGAAAGAAGGGCTAGAGCAACTAATAGACGGTTGTCGCGAGAGATGGAGGAGGAAATGGAGCCTACCATTGACGACTTCTTGTTCAACTCTGTATATATTGAAATACCCTCCAACAAGGATCCTCGGGATCTCACCAGTGACATCAACCGGAATATCGATGGCTTGAGCGAGACTGGAAGCTACGCAACCACCTCAACTATAACTGGTACATCTACACAGGACGGGGTTGCCAGGAGAGAAAAATTGCGCCTGGCCCGGAGTCAACACCACAAAATGACAATTGAGCTGAAAGGTGTTTCTGCGGATGTGGTTGTTTTCCCAGCTAATTCCGGAGAGACTCAGAGCTCGATAGACGTTCGAATCCACGACCTGGAAATATTCGATCATATGCCGACTTCTACGTGGAGAAAATTTGCCACGTACATGCACGATATGGGCGAGAGAGAGATTGGTACAAGCATGGTCCATGTCGAAGTACTGAATGTGAAACCAGTAGCGGATCTTGCAGCTTCTGAGATAATATTAAAGGTAAGCGTGAATTCTGTCTATCTTTAAATGCGATCCAAGTATCTAACCTCTACATAGGCAACCGTCCTACCACTGCGCCTTCACGTTGACCACGATGCACTTGACTTTATGGCCCGATTTTTCGACTTTAAAGACGAATCAGCAAGCAAACCTGAGACTGCTCCGGGTGATGTACCATTTCTACAACGGGTAGAAATCAATCCTATACCGATACGACTTGATTTCAAACCTAAGAGGCTTGATTACACTGCTCTTCGCTCTGGGAGAACCACAGAGCTGATGAATATTTTTGTTCTCGATGAAGCGGATATGGTCCTTCGCCATGTGATATTATACGGTATTACCGGGTTTGAAAGGCTTGGAAAGATGCTTAATGACATATGGACACCCGATGTACGCGATAACCAACTCGGAGGTGTTCTATCCGGACTAGCACCTGTCAAGTCGCTGGTAACTCTCGGCAGTGGTGTTAGAGACCTTATTTTCATTCCTATTCGGGAATACAAGAAAGACGGTCGAATTGTTAGAGGGCTTCAGAAAGGCGCCGCAGCCTTTGCCAAAACCACCACAAGTGAACTTATCAAAATCGGAGCCAAACTAGCAATTGGGACGCAAAATGTACTTCAAGGAGCAGAAGGTTATCTCAATGGTCCTCCTCCCCAGCCTGCAAATCGTGCTCCATCATCTGGGGAGGATCCTGAAGACGACGAGCCCATTGATGTAGGGGCAAAGCAGCAAATATCTCTTTATGCAGACCAGCCTGTTGGCGTTATCCAAGGGTTACGTGGAGCATATGCAGGACTCGGGCGAGATCTGAGTGTTGCACGAGATGCAATCATTGCTGTACCTGGAGAAATAATGGAGACTGAAAATGTCACCGAAGCAGCACGGGCAGCCCTCAGGAGTGCGCCTACCATTATACTTGGTCCAGCCATTAGTGCTGCTGGTGCAGTTGGGGAGACTCTCTTAGGTGCTAGGAATACATTGGATCCGGAGAATAAGAGACGAGCAGATGAGGTATGAGATCTACCCCCTTCTTTACTGCTAAGTTGCAGTCACTAACGGGTTGCATATAGAAATATCGATCTCTCTAATACAACCTCATGTTTTCCTTTTTTTTTTTTTTTTCTTCTTTTTTTTTTCCCCCTACTCATCTGCGTTTGGGTATCTATTGGCGCGATGAGAGGCAATCATTTCATTTTTAAACGAGATGTGAATGAAGACTTACGATGGAGCATTTATTTATCTCACATTTCCTTGTCTATCTTTTCCACTTACATTTTCTTTTCCAGAATGAATCATGCATGATGGAAGTTATATGAAGGTGCTCCGGAGTTTTTGAGCCACAATTTGCCTTTTATTATGTTTCCGCATATCTAGCGTACGGGCTATTGCCAGAGATTGTTTATTGTTCGATGTTTAACTAATATCTTAGCCATTTTGTTGATATCATATATGCTTATCTGTTCTTCGCATCTAGCAGTGTATATAGGTGGAAGATTATCATTACCATGAATACACTCTTGAGTGTAAAGTTTACCCTTGGCAGAGCCCAGATTGATCAGAATCGGACAGTCCGTACTCCGTAGATGTTTTATACAAGCCCATTTTCCCATTTTTAGTTGAGACAAAAATATCGATACTACCTTATCATTATATGATCCTCCTCTTTCACATGTAAAAACATGTTGGGGTTTCAAGTAGTTTCTCCAAATAAGCGTTTGGGATAGTTAGTATAACTACAACGCTGCAAACAGGCTGTCTACTCCTCACGGGAGGAGCTCTGGTTGTATGTAAGTAGGACGGTTTCAGATTTCAAGGTGGATTCGGCATGCCCGTTAAAATGGGGGCAGTTGAGCGTAAAATAGATCGGTTAAAGGTGCCTCCTAATATGCTCAGCTCTTATCGACGAAAAGCATATAGAGAGCTGCATGGTCAGCCACAATAAGGAGCTATGGGGGTGGGTTAATGCGGCTTATCCCAGGGCGATGCACTGGAGCAACATGTGCTTCTGCATATAACGAGAGGCTAAGAGTGACATATCAGCCTCCTCATGGCCCGTACTCGTTAGTTTCTTCACATGTTTCCCATTCAGCTCTATTTTCTCATGGAGGGGCTAAGCCCCCCCCCCCCACGATGCCGGCTAGGCTGGGAGAAAAGTATTGAAGGTCCTCTTATCCGAGCGTCCGTAACACTAACGGCCCTGCATATAGAGGCTTAACTCGAAGCTCAGCCATTTGCTACCGTGATGGAACAGGGTACTTTGAATAGGCTGGCGAGATGTCGAAAAGGCTTTCCGCCTTGAAACCGGCTAAGTGCGAGGAGCCTTGAACTGTATCCTTCCCCAAAACATGGCATGATCAGCCGAAAAGACAATACTGGCATTTGATAAGGAGTACCATTGGCGCCTCATATGATTGATTGCATGCATTGAGTCTGCGGGAAGGTAAATCGGTCAGCCATGGGGCATCATGATGCATCGAATGCACGGCTATCGAGATGTGGATAGATTGACGCAAAGAAGACGGGAGACGAAGCTTGCTGGCCGTCGAATCTCGGACTTGTGCGAAGACATGCGTCAAAACCCGGTGTATATGACACTCGCCAGCGTGTTCGGGAGCGGATGATGATGATGGGTGTGTGCGCGAAGGAGGTCGGGAACTGATCATGAGTCGCTGGCTGGTGATGTGAGAGCATGGATACGATCAGGGGCAGGCCATGACAACTGCGGCCGTGGTGAGCTTGTGGGACGTCAATCTTGGTTATCCCGCAGCGAGGGCCGCTTCTCCTGGTTCCCCCTGTGTTCCCTTTGTGATGTCTATGCCGTCTCCTTGCTTTTCTTTGGCTTCTCTTGTCGTCCTGTCGTCTCCATCGCCGTCGGTTCTTCGAGATGTATACAGTTCAGAGATGGAGATGGCCTTGGAAGTAGTTTTAGTAGCCAGGTCATGTGACCGAGATGTTTTTCCTTGCTCGAAGAAAGACGAAAAGACGACAAGGGAGGGCAAACCGCAAGACGAAGACGACGCAGAAGACGACGGACAGGGAGGAGGACCCAGGAATGAGACGTCTCTCTTCTCGCGGCGCCGGTGAGGGCCAGCCGGCATCGAGGATGGTCATGAGACGCCTGCGATCGCAATCTTGACTTCCGCCTCAGCCTCTCGACGCTGCCCATTGCCGGCTCCCCTTGTCCACCCAGAGACGAAAAACACCATCCAGGCCTGTAAGTGGCTGCGATGCGCAGCGAGGGATCCCTCTTGGTACCAGGCAGACCGATGTTTGGGCCCATGATTGGCTAACAGTCGAGCAGGTTGTTCCCGCTCGTTGCTTTTTTTTCGCTGCGTCTCTGGCTCTCCACTCGCATACCCAGAGATGCCATCCAGGCCAGGCGAGTTCATACCCAACTTCCGCGCTCCATCCAGCGACTCACAGCTCCCAGACGATGAATGTCGTGTTCCCTGAGGCAAAACGAATAAGGATACCATAACAAATCCCAGAAGCCTGGCTGGTAACTCAAAGCCCACTAGGTGGGTGCCGGTTCTGGGTTGTGTGGTACCTCTCAGGTACGACACGTACAAAAGAAATTTCATCAATATGAATGATTGATGCTACGTTAAAGGGCCTAGGGAGCCCCGTCCCATACATCCCCTCGAAGATAGCCTCTGATGGTCCCTTTCTGCAGAGCATCTCTGTTTTGTTTTTTTCCATTTTCTCTCTTCTCCCGCGTGAGGGTGTGAAGAATCCCGGGTCTGCAGTAGAGGTTGCAGGGTCATGCTTCTGCGGGATTCGCTAGAAGCTTTAATGTCTTGTCTCTTGCGCTTCTCCTGCTGCTAACCTTGTGTGTTTTGATGCATTCTTCATCTTTTGCTTTCTTTCATCGCTTGCTTTTCATGTGAATATATCCCTGCAGTCACTATCATTTGAACCTCTATGCAATAGTCAGCAGGATCTTTATATCAATCGTTATATTCCACATTTGGATCTAGCTGTTGGGCCATTACTATTGCAAATATATTTTACCAGAAGGGTTCAACAGTGGCTGGCCATTGTCTCCTCCCTCCTTCACTGAATCAGTAATACTTCCTTCTCCTTTCTTTGGTTGGCACTTGACCTTTGAACATACAAAACAATATACATAGCCTGCGCTCGTTCTCTGGCATTCAATATTTACCTAACCGGCTTATATTCATTATTATCCACCACCGGGCGAGATACCCTAGGCTTAACACCTGTTGGCAAAGGTCAACCTGCTGCATCTCCAGCCAAATCCGGCCCCAATTGGTACTGCTCATACTACTGCTCGGATACCTGGTTACTATACCTCATTTGCAGGAATTAATATCTCTGGTCCTTATTCATTATATCGCTGAAACTTTCCCAGCTGGCTCCCTCCGCCTCAACTCCCGGGGGGAGCTGATCCATAAAACCATGGCCGGGGTCGCCTTGGAGACGAATCAAATTCCCTGGGAGTCACTGCTCCTGATGGATGAACACACCTGTGGTGCTGACCTTCACTCTTCATTGAGGAGATCTCTTATTCCGGCTCCTCTCCGTATCGGGTCACCGTCAACGTCTCCATCTCAATACCAGTCTCCCTCGCCTCCGATTAGCCCTGCTCCTACCCTCCTGGTGTCTGTTCAAACCCCTCTCCACACCCGTTCTATGTCAGGGAAGCTCTCACTGCATGAATATCGCAGGAAATTGTCACATCCTGATGCTCAGGACGGAACAACTACTGTTCCGAGAAGGATGTTGAAAAGGAAGCCAAAGACTACAAATCTAAACAACAGACAAGGGAACACCATCCCCCTTTCACCACCAGCAACCCCTCCAGCATCTGCTTCTCCTTTTGAACCAAGTCGACCAGTGTCTCCTATCCTTGAGCTAGATCATCTTACCTTTAGTTCTGGATATAACAACGCGTCTAATACTGCTACAAGCTGTGAAGTTTCACCTATAGATGGTACTTTTCTGGATTTTGAACGCGCAACGCCACAAAGTAAATTGACACAAAACCATCTATTTGAAGCACCAGCAGGAAACAAATCCCAGCATAGGACCTTGGTAAGTAAGTCTGATCAATATTTCTCATATGTCTACCTATCTTTATCTCCTGTTTTGATATATTCCCAGTTACCTTCAATTTCACTAACAATGACGCGCCAGAGCACCCTACGCGACTCTATTCGACAGATACCAACAAGATTCACAGCACATACCAAATCAGCCTCTGAATCTGCCCTGCCTAGGACTCTTCGCCATAAAGGTGTTTCATTTGAGATATTGACACCTCGAAGGCATACGGGCTCTTCTCTGTCACCAACTTTGGCTGAGACGGGTAGCCCTAAAAAAGCTGAAATGCCAACTCCAAGTCCCCTAGACATGGACATCGAAATCCCTAAGCCAGCCAAATCACCGCCCCCAAGGCTTCGCCGGCGCTCTGCTTCCCTAGGCCCCGAGAGGAGGTGTACCCCTTCTCGTGCTTTGTTTGAAGATCTTCCTACCGCTTATTCTTCGATCACTTCGGGGTCCTCTAGCAAAAATAGGCCGGCCAACCCTACGGCATATAGTGATGAGCATTTACCACAGGTTCCCGACGAAACCACAGCTCACCATGACCAATTTATGGTCTCTGATATTGAGCCTTCTTCCTCGCAAGAAATTCAAATTGATCATCCAGACTCCGAGATCTCGCAGCCTACCCCAGAACAGCCTGCAGTAGAAGAAACTTATGCGGCTTCAGAAGCTGTAGATGGAGTTGTGGATGAAGCCATCCACCCGTCCAATTCTCAAAGGAAGTCCAACAAACTTGTGAAGCGTCGGCTTTACGGCACAAATGACCCTCTTTCCCCTGGGTGTCCTCGTCTGCGCCCGATTATCTCCACATTCCTGAATCGACGCCAACCAAACTTGCATGGTGCTCGCGGCCGCATTGAGAAACCAAAGATCATCAACGATATAATCAATAGGAGTAACAACTCGAGGCCGGGTTCAGCTCTTGATGAAATAGAGGACCACGTTCAAGCAACATCCACTCTAACACTTCCGCAACCAAATTGCTTGCATCATCACTTTTCCACTGGTCATCAAGAAATCACTACTAGTGATGAAAGCCATGAAATTGTTCCCCAAAGCAACCACGATGATTCACCAGCTGCACGGTCATCCCCTTTCTCTTTCACCGACAGTAAGCGGCTTGAGGAATGGAAATCTTTTATCCTCACTGGCACAACCGATCAAGTTTCTTCTGAGAACCTTCCCAAGAGCATGCAACGAACAAGCATATTTGGTCCCAACTTCTCTCGGCCAATGTCGTCTCGTGCCCGACATCGTAAAGCTGATCATCGTGCAGAGTATCGACCTCAAACATCTGATGCAGCTTCTCCTTTCAAAACATGCCATATGGACCTCCCAAGGCTCTCGACGTCATCTCTGCCTTACCATGGAGATAACCAGGGACAGCAGGGAATTTCCTCTGTCCTGCTACGGTCGCCAGATCAGGAATTTTCTCTTTCCCGAGCTGAGAGGATGACTGGTTCAGAGTCCTATTATGAAGATTTGGGACCTGGGAGTAGCCAGAGCTCGTCAAGCAACAGACTCAGCATGCATACTTCATCGTCGATGGCATTGAGGACTCCTCAACGTCCAAAGTCTGCGGCACCGTGCGAGCCTAAAGATAAAAGCAAGAGCTACCATCCCTTTTTCCATGCTCACCTTGGAAGTCCGCGGCCAAATAAGAAACAAGAGCAAAGCATATCGACTTTGGCAAAGCATAAAGGCAAGCAGAGTATTAGCTCTGTACTTGATGGTGATAGTGACATTGAACCAGATGAAGCAGGATCCGAAAAAGATTGGGAGACGGTTACTGAGAGCCAGATGTTTGGATCCAGGTCCCGGATCCCAGTACCCAACCTGGAGTCAGGTAGCAGTTTGGCCAATTACTCCAGCGCCGGGACCCTGGCCAACAGAAGCCTGATGGATATATCCTCCCAGTCTCACCAGGGAAGCCGTGAAATGAGATTTCCATTCCGTGATAGATCCCCTAGGTTCCGCCGCCCTAGCTGGTTGCATACCACACGCCAACGTCGATTCCCTGAGATTAGTGCTCCTAGTTTCCCCCGTCACCTTTACTCGATGTCCGAATACCCTAGGGACCCCGAAATGCTGTACAGCACTGCGCCGCCCCTGATGGCATCGACTGCGCAACAGCCTGCTCCGCGAGCGGCTTCGAACTCCCAATACCACCACCCGTCCCCCCTTCGAGACACCCATCCGAACCCCTTCCAATCCACTCCCCCGTCCCTGAACGAGATTCATCCGAGCGAGCGGCATGCAAAGTCCGGGCGAGATTCGAAGTCCGGCTTTGTGTCTGCAATTCGCAGCAGTAAGTTGACCTTTCAAGATGATAATGACAGCAATATCAACAACATCAACAACAACAGCGACAACCCATTCAACTCTGGCCACCATGGCTCTGGTCCCATCAGAAGCTTGCGGCCTTTGCCAGCTCGAGCATCAATGGAAGCATCAGCATGGTGGACAAAACCAGCCTTTAGCAGCATGAAGTCGCAGCACTCCTTTCACTCTGCCCCTTTTTCCTCCACCATCAGAGGCGTGAGAGACGCAACATCCCTTCACAGCCGCAACGTCTCTTCCTCTTCCCATTCTCACTCTCACCCTCACCCTCACCCTCATCATCATCATCATCACCATCCAACCTCCAGCCCAGCAACACATGAAATTACAACAACTGACCTCTTTGACAGTCAAAATCCGGTGCCTGTGACTCCCTCTTCTGCTTCTCAAACCGCCCAGCCACAGACGCCTTCACTTGGGCCTCGGGCTTCCTGCACGACTGAGGAAGATATCGAGCTTGAGCCCCTTACGCGTGTCTGCCATCGATCAACGCCCGCTCGTTCTCGCGTCAGCTCATTAAGCAGCCTTGTATCCGGCGCCACCTCGACTTCAAGAAACACCCCTGGTTCTCTGTACCTTTCTATCAGAGCTGCTCGTGACAAGGCACGCAACTACCGTCACCACCGCCACAACCGCACGCTGACGAACAATTCAACCTCCACCACGGGCGAGCGTCTTCTCTCTGTCCGGCCGGACACGCGAGCTTCATCTAGAGGCGAATACCGACGCGATATCAACTCCAACATGGACGAGCATGATCATCCAGCTGAACGAGAACGGGTATCTAGTCCCAGATCTATCCTTGCCATGTCACCACCAGCAATGCGCAGCAGCCGCCCTCCAACGCGTATCCAAAGTGCTAGCACTGCAAGAAAGCTCCGAAGCCCCAACCCAGACGACTTGCTCCGTGAACGCCTGGACCGAATTGAAACGGCTTCGGTTGTGCTCTCAAACCACTCACCATCTCTGCACGAGTCCTGTGTCCGCTCCCCCTGGACGACCTGCCAACCAGCAAAGCAATTCACCGTCAACGGAGCATCATCTTTCTTCGCTACCATCGACGAAGAAACAGGCAGCGTACCAGACGCATATTGTTCAACCTATGGTCGTCATGTCTTCCCGGAGCCCCCGCGTCTAACACCCCAGCCCCGTCGACAGTATCAGAACCAGAATGTCGATGCTCTAGGCTCTGCAGAACAGGCCGGCGTCCACGGAGGCACCAACTTGAGCGCTCAACGACGTATTGGAAGACAGCTGATCATGATCTTTTCACTTTTGGTACCCTTTGGATGGTTTGTTGTTGCGTATATTGGATTTGAGGGCAAGTTGGCCGACGAGCTGATCCGCTGGCGATCCAACGGAGCCATTACCGAGTTTCACGTCAAGGACAAGTATTGGGCTAGCCAGTTTGCCGTTTCTTATGGGGTATTTACTCTTATCGCACTGGTTGTGGTGCTGGCCATTTGTTTAACCGCCCTGTGAGGGATAGGGGTTGGATATGGATATGTCTGTTGAGGAACGATGATATTGGTGCCCCTGAACTTCCCTCTCTCTTTTTTTCCCCCTTTCGTTTGTTACCCCTGGAACCGTTTCCCTCTCTATCTTGCTGTCGTTTCTTTTGTTTTTTTGTCAAATTACATTTTTCTTTTCCTTTTTGACTGTTAGATTTCTGTTCTCTCTGCAAACAATAGTTGATAATTCAAGATCGGATCTGGAGTTCATATCGGTTACAAAAGCGCCTTGTGTAATTCGACGGAGTCTCTTAAGGCTAGGACTCGGGTATCTCCGTCGTCATGCTATGGGGTTTTTATGGTGTATAGGAATAGAGAAGAGAACTGGGTTATTCTATATAAGCACTTTTTTTTCTTTTCAGTCTTGCATCCTGTTGGACTCCGCCACCTCCTGTTCAAGAACCGCTGTGACAGCGGCCAGCAGCAGACTCCTCCGCCGAAGACCATACTGCGACTTGCCGAACTTCCTACTCGGGTTGGGTGTTGATGTGCCGGTGCTGCTGTGGCTGTGGCCGTGGTGCTGCGACTTCTCGACCTTCCCCTTGCTGCCAGCGCCGGAGAAGCGACTCGATGTTGCGCACCCGCTCGCCAGAGGGGTGTGAGCGTGGTTGTCATTATTAGGGTGTTTTTGCTTTAGCAGCCGTCTTCTCGAAGGCGTGCGTGACGGCGGGAGGGAGCTGGGGTGCTGATCGTCGCTGATATAGCCCGCGGCTGCATCGCAGGACTCTCCAGGAGCTACTGATGCTGCTGCTGCTGATGCGTATGAGGACCGACGACGATCCGGGGAACAGTCAACGCCACTGTCTAGTAGGAGGGCGAGACGGACGGTGTCGGCGATGGAGGAGGAGGCGCATTGCAGCATCGAGAACTTCTCACGCTGGTACCGGACGTCGCCTGGCCGGTCAGCATCCTCGATATTATTGATATTATTGATGCTATCACCATTATCGACAATGCTTGATCGGCTGTGGGGCATGGAGGAGTAGAATATCTCGGAGGATTTATCTTGATCTTGCAAAGGCAGTTTGCCATGCTCACCACGATCATGGCCATGGTCGATGACATGGGCGTCTCGGGGACTCGGAGGAGGCGAGGCAGTGGAGTCTAGGGGCGGAGGATAGAACGGCGACGACAACCTGACCAGGTCGTTCTCCGTTCTTGACTGAGCAGGCAGCGCATCCAGCAGGGCGAAGGTCTGATATTGGGCATCGGTCGAGCACCGTGGGGGGGTTATGGGCAGCCACCGCCCGCCGTCGTCGCTGTCGCTGCCGCCGTCCTGGCCGCCGCCGGTTTCGAGCGAGTGAGCATGCAGCTGCTTCGTCAGGGAGCCGATAGAGAACCGCTGGCTGCGCTCTGCCGAGTACTCTGCGGGAATGGATGTGGGTGCAGGGCCGAGGTGCTGCTGCTGGTGGTGATGGTGGTGATAGTGAGGGAACTGCCTCGACCGGCGGTTGAGACGAGGAAAGTCCCGCGAATTCAACGGCGACGGCAGCCGGGGCGAAGGACACCGAGAGGATAGAGGCGAGACCAGGTTGCTGTCGCACTGGAACTGCAGGCTATCGATCTCGGGCTGCACTGCAGGCAGCGCAGGAGCCGGGAACGAGAAGCCCTCAAACATGCTGTTAGCGCTGCTGCTGCTGCTGCTCCCGGTTTCCAAGTCGATCGACCGATTGTGCTGTCGTAGGGCCTTTTTCTTGTCCTCCCCTTCCAGTGGGTTATGGTCTTCCTCTGCCTTTCTTATGACTTATCGGATATGGTGGGAGTTCTGTCCGGCGACGAGGGGGGGCGCGTATAGATGGTTATATATCAAATCTCCGGCGCATCAGATATGACAAAAAAAAAAAAAAAAAAGACAGGCCGGGCGGTGCAAACCAAGCGAGGGCAAAGGAAAAAGCAAGCAGGCCAGAGTTTCTCTAAGCCGAGACCGCGGCCGGCATCAGGGCAAGGTCAAGAAGGGCGCATCCAGGGAGCCAGACAAGGCCCGTCCGGTGTGAGTCTCTTCTCTTCTGTGCTGGCTGCGTCTGCCCTGGATCCCGGCAGCGGCAAATGGGCAGACGAAGTGGGCTCTGGGTTCAGTCCTTCTGTCCTCCGCGGTGGAGCAGGGCAGCGCGGCGTCTCGGTCGTTTTCCCTCTGCTGGTCTTCGTGCCTGTCTCAACCTGCGTCTTTGTTAGCACGCAGGAAGCTGAAGCGGGAGAGGAGGGGCCGCAGTCCGTCCTTATATCTCATATCCCTTCCCTCCGTCAGGCGTGCCGTCGTGGGCGCCGCGGTCAAGGGGACGGCGCAGGCAGGCAGCAGGCAGCAGGCAGCAGGCAGCCACCCTTTTGATAGAGGCCGGCGCAGGCATCCGACAGGCCAGGCGGGCGACTGCGATCCCTGGTTTGGCCGTCGTTAGTCCCCGGCTAGTGTGCCTCTCGCCGTCGTCGTGTCCGTCGTCGTTGGTTGGCTCGTCCCACGGCTGGCTGGTGGTTGCGCGATGGAGATGCTGGCGGAAGAACAAGAAGAAGAAGAAGCAAAAAGGAGGCCGGGGGGGTCAGCCTTATCGCAGGGAAGGGCCAGAAGCGGATGTCCTCAGGAGCCACACACAGTCACGAAGCCGCCCGTCACTCTGGCTGTCTGATTCGACGAGGCGACGGCGGGGACGAAGAAAGAGCCGGAGTCTGCTGTTTGCTCGCTATCCAGTGGCTATTATTATTTGATATTATTTGATATTCTGATACGGTACGGAGTAGTTAATGGTGGTGGTGGCGGCGGTGCGGCTCTTCCCGTAGAGTTGCTTCTCAGGCTTCTAGAAGGACGCGGGACGGCCCCTTTGCGGATTTGCTGGAACACTCGGAGTATGGATGAAATGCAGTCTATATTCACGCGGTCTATATGCTAGCTATTCTAAAACACAAACGGCGAGACCCAGATCGAACATCGTTGCCGGGCAGGCTGGTGACGCTCTTCTCGGTGGCTCGCTCCGTTAAAGGGACAAAAAATATGGACCGCCGGCGACGACGAGCCAGCATCATGCCGGAACCCACGAAAGAAAGAAACAGAATATTAAACAAGACAGACAAACATTAGGTGCTCCATAGCGGATTATCTCGCAGTGACAAAGGAAATAGTTATTTTTTTTTTTTCGTTTCTTTATTTTCTCGTTTGCAATTTTTTTTTTTTGTTTCGGGCGGTTTTCGACATAAATCATGCAACTCCCCAACTCCTCGCTAACAACTCGAAAGGGACGGTGAGGGCGGTGTTTTGCTTGGGCTGTTGGTTCTCATTCTCTGGTATTTTGCTCTCTGGTTCATTCACTTTTTGGTTCTTTTTGCTCTTGATATCTTGGTTGGTCGTTGGTTTGCCTGCCGGGAGTAGTGGCTGCCTACGCCTTAGGCGTGCGAGCCATCTTCTCCTTCTCGTAAACAGCCTTCAGGACATCAACTCCGATGCTGAAGCAGGGCTCGACTCCCAGGTCCTTGAGTATCGCCTTGGTCTTCCTCTGGTCCAGCGCAAACATGTTGTGGCCGACCTCGAAGTAGCTCTTGAGCACAGTCCATCGGATCTCCGCGCCTGGCTCGGTGTCAATACGCTGCATTCCGTCAAGCCAGTCGTCCTTGCTTAGGATCTCTGCCTTCACGCTCGGGTCAGACTTGATCTCAGCCATCATATCGACCAGTTGAGGGGTCTTGACCGGGCTTGGGTTGGTGATGTGGTGGATTGTAGCAACGTTCTCTTGACGGCTTAGTCCGTCAGACAGTGACAGAGCACGCACACACTTAGTCATGTAGTCGATCGGGATAAAGTCGATCACAAACTCGAGGCCGCGCTGGCCGATCTTGGGGATGCCGTTGGACTCCACGATGCCGAGAACCATGCGGCGCGCAAAGCTGTCGTCCGGCTCGATTCCTCCCGTCTCCGTGCTTGCAGTTATGGCAGAGGCTCGGTAAATGGTGCAGGGAATGCCTCGAGACGCAGCCTTTTCAATCAACATCTCGGATGCCCATCGTGATTTGAAGTAGCCAAAGCGACTAGTGCCTTCGGGGGTGAAATGGCTGGCACTGGTTTCTTGGGTAACCGGGCGACCTCTTCGCTTGCGGATGGTAGTCTGCCAGGATTGAATGTGCATAACAGACCAGGTAGAGAGGTGATGGATATGAATCTTAACCCTGCCAAATGTCGCAAGTTCGATGATATCGCGGATGGGTTCAACATTAAAGCTTCGAAGGTCGTCATAGGACTGAAGGAGTGAGACGTGAGAGGCGAAGTTGTAGATGGCCTGGATGGTCTGGCCAAGTTTTTTGAAGTCGGAAGTTGATAATCCCAGGTGTGGGTGAGCCATCGCGCCAGGGACGCATTGGATGCGGGACGTGACAGCGTCGCGGTCAGGGAAGAACTGCAGTAAATCCCACTGGTCCAGCACCTTGAAAACATCCTCGGAGGTCATCGGCTCCTCAAGGCCAAGAACATGGATTGTCAACTGGGGGCTTTCACGGAGTAGAGTAGCAAGCATGTGGATTCCGTGGAAGGACTCAACACCGGTAAGGAGAACATCAGTAATCTGAGAGGGGGAAATGTCGGGTAGGCTTTGGTCTAAGGTATACTGAGGAGCGTCAATCAATTCGGTTTCTTTGTCCCAGTCGATTTCGCCGTCAGTGGCATCCTTGGATTTGCTCCAGATGGCATGAGCAATGCCCATAGGGGTCGGCTTTTCAAACATCATTGCAAGGGTTGGAGTGACTTTGAGGACACGCTTGAGCCTGGCCTGCAGCCTGAGCATAAGGATACTCTGGCCACCGAGCTCAAAGAAGCTATCATTGACTCCAATTTCTTGATCCTCGGGCAGCTTCAGGATTTCCTGGAAGCCTTGCAAGACGGTATTGACAAGTTTATCATCAGGCCTATCATTTGGTGCTGGCGCTTGAGATTCAACCGTCTCGGTTGCGGCGGTAGGGAAGGTTAGGGAAAGGTCGCAGTTGAGGAGACGTTGGCGATCAACTTTCCCACCAATGGTGACTGGGAGAGCATCGAGGAATTGGTAACCGTTCGGAAGCATATAGTTGTTAAGATGGCACCCTGCCTTGTTGTTCAGGTCAAACGCAAATGCTTGCTTGCTCTTCTGGTCGGCGAATGGCTTCTTGGTAACAACGAATGCAATTAGTTGGCGGTTATCAGTGATATCCTGAGGATCAGCAGTGGTGGGCGAACGGGCAACGACGGAAATATCGACAATCTGTGGCTCTCCGGATTCGTCCTTGGATTCCACAAATAGTCTCTGTTCAACTTCACCAAGATCTATACGGAAGCCTCGAAGTTTGATTTGCTTGTCACCGGCGATGCGACCATGGAACTCCAGGCTTCCGTCTGGGCGGAACCGGCCTTTGTCACCACTTCGGAACATTCTTGTCCAGCCGGCTTGACGGTCTTCTTCGGAGCAGAAAGGATCGGCTACGAACGAGCTTCGGTTTGCTTCTGGTCGGTTAAGGTATCCAAGGCCAACTTGAGCTCCTCCAACAACTATCTCGCCGATGAATCCCTCAGGGAGGGGTTGGCAGTTCTTGTCAAGAATGTAGTGTCGTGTGTTTGCCATGGGTAATCCAATTGGGATGCTGACTTCATCTTCGCTAGGGTATTCAACATGTTGGATGGTTGTTTGGACCACAAGCTCACTGGGACTCCAGGTGTTCAGGACCACAGCTGGGGTTCCGAGATCGTAGAAGGCCCTGGCCACGCGGACTGGCAGTCGTTCACCAGCGAAGTAAGCAATTCGATATTTGCGGATGTTCTGGAGGCATGGCTTTGCGTTTTCAATGAGAAGGGCAAATTGAGTAGGAGTGAAATAGGTAACAGTAACCTGAGAGGATTCCATGTACTTGGCGAGAGCAACAGGGTCCTTTCGAGTAGCAGCGGTAGCAACGCAGACGCGGGCGCCGCAGGTAAGTGCAGAAAAAATTTGAACAATAGATAAATCAAAACAAATAGAAGAATGATGAAGAAAACGGTCTTTGGTGGTAAATTTATAGTCGTGATGCAGGGTGCTGAGCATCTGTTGAGTGTTTGATTGACTCAAGACTACACCTTTTGGGGTGCCTGTGCTTCCCTTTGAATACATTAAAATCAAATTTCTCTCTCAAAAAATATTCTTGACGAGAAGCAGTATTCCTCATGGGAGGGTTGGGTAGAGGAGAAGAAACTTACCGAGGTGTAGATCATGTAGAATGGGTCATTGTTCGCAGTTTTGAGGGGCCCTTGAATAGGCTGTGGTGATTCCGGGATGTTCTCCATCACAACGGAGTCCAACGGAGAGTTGGACTTGTTGGAAATCTCTCTAGCTCTGGCCTCGAGCTCCTTTTCAGTCAAAAGAAGCTTCATTCCGGAGTCATTGGCCATGAAAGAGAGACGCTCAGTAGCGAAGCTTGGGTCGAGGGCAACATAACCACAGCGAGCAAAGAGAGTACCGATCATTGCGGAAATAGCGTTCACTCCAGGAGTCGAGAAAATACCAATTTTAGATCCGGAATCAATTCCCTTAGATTCAATTGCAGCAGCAACTTTCTCCGCTTTCTCAACGAGGGTCTTGTAGCTGATACTACTTCCGTTAGAGGTCTCAATGGCCACATCGTTGGGGTATTGGCGCGCGA